ATACATTTCATAAGAAATGCCAATGATAAGCATTTTTAAGAAGACCACCGTGAAGAAAATTCTATCTCATGACATTAAAATCTGTTGCAGAGAATAAGGAGGTAGAGAAATTTTACAAAGAACTTGATAAAATGCTCCAAATAAAATCAGCATATATTTCAATATTCAGTGACTTCATTGTCACAGAAGACATGGGGAAGGGTGGGAAAAATGTTTACTTTACAACATAGCCCTCAGGAGGTAATGAAGAAGACAATCCTGAGGCTTATAGAGTATACCCTCTCTCCTGCTCATACATCATGTAGCCTTTTCTCAAGAAGAAAGTGAATATTGGCAAGTGAATATGGTGAATACCTGATAACATTAAAAGAAATTTATTTTGTTTTAACATCTAGAAGTGATGAGTTACTAATGTGAGAGTCATTTCCTATGAAGTTTAGATGATATAAAATAATTTTCCTAATTGGAAACCCAAGGACCCTCAATACTACCTCAGCCAATAATCTCCTTTTTAGACAATGGTAAATGGCAGCCAAAAGCAACATTATTTTATAACACAAACTTGTTCCTTACATATGCATACATACCCTTTGACCAGTGAGACCATCAGTATGACCAACGAAGTAAAATAAAGAAAAGAAAGGACCACAAGTACAAAAATATTTAATATAGTTCTCTTTCTGTAGCAAAGAAGTGGGAACAAAGGATATGCCCATTTATTGGGGAATAGCTAGACAAATAATGGTTTACACATGTAAATTAGGAATAAGGATAGAGATAGGTATGTGATTTCAATAATAAAGAGTACCAGATTCTTCTTTCTGACTTATGATTTAGAGAGTTGCCCAGAGTATCAAGAAATTATGACCAAAAAATGTCAAAGGGAGGACTTACACCCAGATCTTCCTGGTTCTAAGACCAGATTTCTATAAAGCACAGCTCACTGTCTCTTCATATAAATGTAATGGAATTTCATTGTGCAATAAGAAACACCAAAGGAAATAGGTTCAGGAAAATCTATGATTTGTATGAACTGACAGAATAAACTGAACTGAAGTAGGAGGCTAATTTGTAAAATACTTCTGACATTGTAAAGACAAATAACTTTTAAGGACTTAAGAACGCTGATCAATGCAAGAACTAATTATAGCCCAAAAATGAAGCTTACAGCCACCTACTGACAGAGTGGTGATGGATTAGACAAGCAGAATGAGACATACATTTCCCAAAATAGTCATTGTGTAAAGTAGTTTTGCTTTTTGTTACTAAGGAGGGTATTTGTTATTAAAGGCTTATTAAAAGGAGTATTGAGGGATAAAGGGCCAGGGATAGTTAAGCTATACCTCTACACACTCTCTCTCCCCAAAGATGAAGTAGTCATACTACATTGTGAGTACAAAGAACAACCAATGGGTGACTCATGTTATATTGATACTTCTACAATATGAAGAGATCAAGGGAGGTCACCAGTATGTTGAATGAATGCCCTTTGGAGTATTTATGGGAGGTCATAGATAAAAATAGCACAAGATGAAAAGGAACCCATGTAGTACAAATGGCACTATTGTAGGCAATACCCAAGATTATAGATCCATTGATGTAATTGAATTAAAAAAAAGTTGAATCTTATTCTAGATAAACAAACAAAAGGAAACTTTGGCAAAGTTTGAGTAGTAGGGACCTTCAACTTCCCTGACAAATCCATTTCACTTTGTTTCAATAAACTATTTGATCCTTATTTCTCAAAAACACAGACTTTCAGAACTGGAAGACCACTCACAGATCATTTAGTTCAATGTGTTCATTTTTAACAATGAGGAAACTACAACCCAGAGGGTTTAAATGACTCGTTAATAGTAACACAGTTGGTTAGTGACAAAGTTGGGCAGGGCTGTATTGGTAAATGTTTAACAACTAGCTCTCCAAAAAAAAAAATGATGCCACAACACATTTTTTATTTTAATCTTCATTATTAACATTTTCTGCATTACTTTTTTGAGTCTAGAGACAATCAACAAAACAAATCAAACCCTGATATGTAGCATTTGCCAATTTATGGAGTGCAAATAAAGTTTAACAATAGGCAAGTCTTGCAATATGAGATACCTCCAGAACACCCCTGAAGTTGGTACTGAAACCTAGGTTTCTTAACTCCTTATCTGGTGATCTTTCCATTTCACAACATTAACTCTTTGCCTGTGTAAGTTTTGAAACTCCACAAAAGACATGCATTGTGTATGCATGATTCTCCTACTATGCTTAGTACATATCATAAAAAATGTTTTCATAAAGAAAAATTTGATGAGAGTTTTTGGATGATGTTAGGGTAATCTGTATAAGGGACATTGTTTAGGTAATGAATCTAAAATAAACTGCTATTATTGACTTGTAGATGAAGCCTAGGTGAAAACTTCACAGTATAATGATTCTATAAATCAGATAATCAAGCAAGCAAAGTAGAATGGTGACAACATCTTAGATTCATGGTTTTTTTTTCCCTACTTTCTCAAAATAGTTCATGGAAAGAGATATTAAATTGTGTTCTTGTGCTTTAATTAGAGAATGTCAGTAGACTTCAGATCAACTGTCTAACTTTCTTTTTTATATTAATATTTTATTTCCCCATTACATGTTAAAACAATTTTTACATTTTTAAAATATGAGTTCTGAATTCTATCCCTGTCTCCCTCCTTTCTTACCCTCTTCCTGAGATAGTAAGCAATCTATTATAGGTTATGCGTGTTCAATCATATAAAACATTTCCATATTAATCATTTTGTATAAGAAGACTAGAACAAAAAATAATGAAAGAAACAAAGAAAGAAAGAATGAAAAATAGTATGCTTCAGTCTGTATTCAGACAATATTTGTTCTTTCTCCACAGGCAGATAGCATGTTTCATCATGAGTCTTTTGGAATTGTTTTGTATCATTGTATTGCTGAGAATAGCTAAGTTATTCATAGTAGATCATCATACAATATTGCTGTTACTGTGTACAATGTTCTCTTGGCTCTGCTCACTTCACTTTGTATCAATTCATGTAAGTCTTTCCAGGTTTTTCTGAAATCATCCTGCTTATCATTTCTTACAGAACAATAATATTCCATCACAATCATATGTTCAATCATGCCCCAACTTATGGGTGTTTCCTCAATTTCCAATTCTTAGCCACCACAAAAAAAGGTGCTATAAATATTTTTGTATAAATAGGTCCTTTCACCCTTTTCTGATGTCTTTGAGATATAGACCTAGCAGTGGTGTATTGCTGGATCAAAGGGTATGCACAATTTTATAGTCCTTTGGGCATAGTTCTAAATTGCTCTCCAGAATGCTCTCTCATACCTCTACCAACAGTGCATTAGTGCCCGAGTTTTCCCATATACCTCCAACATCCATCATTTTCCTTTTTTTGTCATATTAGCCATCTGATGGGTGTTAAGTGCTACCTCAGAGTTGTTTTAATATGCATTTCTCTAATCAATAGTGATTTAGAGCATTTTTTCATATGACTATATATTGATTTCTTTGTCTGAATATTGTCTATTCATATCCTTTGACCATTTATCAAATAGAAGATGATATATCTTACAAATTTGACTCCAAACTGTTTCATTTTCAAACTCAATTTAAGCTAGTGCTTACTTATCTATATAAATCCTGGTCATAAATAAAATCTCCTTTACCTGAATGAATGACCTTCCTTTTAGAGTCAACTGAGCCTATTTGATGTAGGTTTCCTCTTTTAAATATATTACTTTCCCTCACTGATTGATTCTACACTACTTAATTTTATAATGGTCTTTCATATGAATTATACCATCACACATATACGTACAGATATTGCATACGTTACACATTTCCCATTAAGGTCTTACCCTGATGCCTCATTGTGTCGTGGAAATAATCCTTAATTCTCAAAGGCTAGGCCACATAGGTGTAAACTCTCACAGAGCTTATCAAGCAAAAAGGGATTTTAATGCAGACCCAGTGACAAATTGTGTGCCTGTCATTTGAGGATCAAACTAAATAAGTCCAAAGAACTTATACTACAAGAAAATGGATTTTTTTTATTTACTTATTTGTTTCTTACAACAGTACCTTGTGAATACTACACAGTATAGTAGAGAAGAACTCCAATCTGCATCCCATGAGTACTCAGGTACTATCCATATTGATGAAATTCTAAATCTTTGAATTATGTAGGCAATGTGGTATAGAGCCAGCTTTGAAGATAGAAAGACATGGATAGAAGTGCTGCATGTGACACATCATGACTGTTTAAACTTGGGCAAGTCACTTAACATTTCAGTTAAGTTTCCTAGAGAGGCAACTCTTGAAGATTATAAGTTGCAAACCTGCATTGGTAGAAGGGGTTTTCTTACCAGGCATTTACTGCACCAGTGATCATAAGTCCATTCCCTAAACCTCTCTTAAAATCTAACATATCATATGTATATATATATATATATTCATATATATAATTTATATATTCATATATATAATTTATATATTTATATATATTCATATATATATAATTTATATATATATATTAAATGGTAGAAATAATCCTAATGCTAACCACCCTTTTACTTTTCTTCATTATTTGATTTATAGAGCCATTAAATGGTAAAGTCTTTTCCTAGGTTTCATCTACAAGCCAACCAATTAATTTATTTTAGATTTGTTACCTAAATAATTTCCTTTATACACATCCAACATCATCCAAAAAATTCTTATTTAATTCTTCTTTGTGAATGCTAAGCACTGTGAGAGAATCATGCAAAGTATGAAATTGTCACTATCGCCACTTGTCAATGAAACATATTTAGTTAGTTTGAAAGTGTCGTAAAAATCCTCTGTTTGAAGCCTAATATGAATAAAGACCTAACAATATAGGTAAGTCTATGCTTTCCTACTTCAGTGAATAATGGGAGGGGGGTTTTAAAAATCCTGCAAAGACCCTATTACTAACTCTTTCTTATTGCTTTCTTTTAAAAAGGTGAACAAGATCTGTGGTCCCCCTGTCAGAACACCTACACAAACCCCTGGTTGTTCTCTTGATCGGAGCAAAGATAAGCAAGGAATGAAGATCTCTTTGAGAGAGGGTGAAGAAACCCTTGCCAGCAGAAGAAAGTAAGACATTAGTTTTACAACCAGAAAGAAAGGAGAAAGTAAGCCATTAATTTTACAACAGAATGGACCATATTCAATAAAAGAAAGAAATGCACCAGGAGAAAAAGAAGAGAATATAATTAATTCAGCTTTAAAAACTAGCAAAAATACTTTCATTAATTAGTGTAGAGCCTTTTTGCAAAATCTAGGTTTAGCATTAGGTGATAGCTAGTAGATTATTTAATTTCAAGATGAGGCTTTGGAGTCTGAAAACCGTGGTTGATTAAGAATTTAGGTTATTGACTTTTTCTGTTAGACTAATTTGATTAGGGATTCTTCTCTTTCTTTCTCTGTTTTTCCATTGTACTTTGTGCTTCTTTTGCATGTGTCTAATTTGACCTTTTTTTTTTAGTACCATAAACCATATTATTTCTCTCACTACATTATGATCTCCTTGAGGTCAGGGACTATATCTTGTTTATCTTTATGATCTCCACAATGCTGTGTACAGAGTAAAGTATACATAGCCATTCAATAAATGCATGTAGAATAGAAATGAAATGATATAAATTGACTTATAAAGGATAAACATTGAGTTGTTTGCTTAAAATTAATGTAAATTTTTGTTATCACTTATTTCACATGTGAAATTAATATCTGTATCAAAACAATTTCACAAGATCACTTCTTATTAAACAGAAACTGCATCAACAAAAAGAGAAAGACTGAGTTTCTCCAGGGCTTAAAACCAAAGCTGTCGATAATACAAAATCAGATAGCATAGAGAATAGCAGATATTGGATGGGATGAAGAATATTAGTGGAAAAGATCAGTAACTCTGAAAAGACAGGATCCATGAAAAAGGGTTGTAATAAAGCATGGAGCCTTAGATAGCACTACAAAAATGTCCAGAGCATGAGTGAAAAGCAAGACCATCTAAAGACTTTGACAGAAGGAGGTATATATTCAGCTCATCAGTTTCAGTGCAAGGATAGATGAAGCTCATGACTGAGAGGACTACAGAAAGTTTTATTTGTTGAAAATGAACAAATTAGATAAAAGGAATGGTAGAATAACAATAAATACCATGAAGGAAAGAGAGGAAATCTTAGAGGGTTGGGAATGGGGGCAGAGCATAGAGAAATAATAGTTAATGGAAAAAGAAATAGGAGCAATACTGTAATTGGAATATACTAAAGACTTACCTAGTCAGAAAGCAAAAATAAGTGTATAACTAGTTGAGGAAACGTATAATAATTTTGTCTCAGAAAAAAGCATGGTATACTGTGAAGTGTATGTGAGAGGTAAAGGGTTAGAGATAGCTTTTATGCATAATTTGCTCAAGCTTTCTTTCTTTCTCTGTCTCTCAAAAAAAAAGTGGAGAGCAATGAATAATATATTGAATTGACTTGATAACAATTTCATTCCTAAAAGCATGGAGAAAGTAGCAAGGGGAAATATTATTTGAGGCCTGATTTTAGCAATGATGTACCACTAGTCATCCTAATTGAAATGAGAGAACTGGTGACAACTACATCTTACAATCCCTGATGGATATAGGGTGGGTGGAGAATAGGCAATGCATAATCTGACACACAACCAGATTTTGAAAGTAGTTTTCAAATAGTCCAGAGAATATTTCAGGATTCCATGACTGGGAGATTATGCAGAATAAATGAATCCAAGATGTGTGGGATACTTTCATTATTGAAGTTCTCATAACACAAAAACCAATGATTACAGTGAAGAAAACTTTAAAGAAAATGATATGGATAGAACTATGATATGGATATTGGCTAACAGAGATCATTTTTATTAAAAAAAGATATAGAAAATAAAGAAAGAGTTGTAAAAGAGGATGCCTGCCAAACAATAGAAAGATTCTGTAAGAAAAAAAATCAGGGATTCTAAATCTGAGAATAAAATGAGTCAGGAAAGGAAAGTCAAAGACAACAAAAGAGGTATTTAAAATGCTGTAAATAGAGTAAAGGGAAGACAAAAGAAAGATTAGGATCTCTGCTCAGGGTAGAGAGGACAGTGATATTGGACAGTATCAACAACTTTTATATGGCTTTTGCTTTCTTTACAATATTGAACAATCTTCTAACTGACATGGAAAATGATGTTATCAGTGAATTTAAACCCATGATCTTTGAAGAGAGAAAGAAAATATCCAGCTATACTGAATAGTTTTTAATCTTCAAGGCCCCAACTTTGTATAAGTGTAATAAAATAAATCAGGGATATGTTTTTCAATGATGACTCCTATTGTCTTTTGGTCATTCATGGGTGATATACATAAATGATAGCTTCCAGAAGAAATCCAGAATGCATTTCTAAGGAGGAGAAAGTCTTGAGCCAAAAATTAAGGCAGCTAGATGGCATAGTGAATAGAGCACTGGGCTTGGGGCAGAACTGAGTTCAAATTCAGCCTCAGACACCTATTAGCTATGTGTCACATTTACTTAAACTCTGTTTCCCTCAATGTTCTAAACTGTAAAACAGGAATAATAACAGAACCTACCTCCAAGGGTAGAGCAACTAGGTGGTGCAGTGTATGAACAGTGCCAGCCCTGAAGTCTGCAGGACCTGACCACTCTAGTATCTTTGCCAAAGAAAAACTTAAGTGGGGTCATGAAAAGTTGAACATGACTGAAACAACTCAACAACAACCTTGAAGGGCTATTATGTGGAACAAATGAGATAATGTTGTAAAATGCTTAGCATAGTGCCTGTGCTTAATAAATACTTATTTTATTGTCCTTTCCCTTCCTTGAAGACTGGGGCGGGGGGAGCCACAGGTAGCATTTTCATCGCTATTGCTGATTGAATGTAAGGGCTTCAGAAGGTTATGACAGATTTGCAGATTTGAGAACTACACAGATGGTCAAGAGAATGGCTTCTGAAAAGAGAATTTGAATGTTTTTGCTATGGCTTCCAATATAGGAATTATGGACTCAACCAGAGATCTAGTGCACATAAAAAATATAATAAAATGTAGTTATCTGAAATCTAGCAAACTAATCAGACAGACTTTAAGTTACAAAGAAAATATTAGAGAGAAACCTGTCTTCCTATATCCAACCAGATAGATGCCATAGAGAGTATAAACACTGTAGAAAGAATGGCAAAAATTAAAACAATAGTAATAATGATAAAATCTAACATCTATAGAACTTTAAGATTTGCAAAGTGCTTTGTAGAAATTTTCTCATTTGAGTCTCACAATGATATTATCCACACAATCGTTAAAGAAACTGAGGCTGAGATTAAATGACTTTATCATAGTCACAGAGCTATTAAATGTCTGGAGGAATATTTGAACTCACCATCCCCTATGTCACCTAACTGCCTGTTCATAAATTTATGAGTCAAAAATCCAAAAAATTGAACCAACAATAAAACCCTTAGACTCAGGTAAGCCTATACGAAAGCAAAAGATATCAGTAACAAATAAGATGAGCTAGATTAATGCAATAATGTATATTTGACCTGTTAATCTTAGGCTTAGTGGGATAGGACTCATGACTGGGATATATGATTATGGTAGGTTAAATTTTACAGAAGTAGAGGATGGAGGAACATTTATATATAAATAACATATGCATGGAAGAAACTTTAGAAATGAGAGTTAAGAAATGCAGAGTACATTTAGGGAAAGATCAGTAGGAGTAGAAACTGAAACAATATTGTTATCCAAGTATACTACAGACCACTTGGATAGAAAAGAACAGGATAAAGATTTTTTAAAAATTGATCACATTTGGTTCAGAAGCATGATAAAGCAGTGATAGTAGGATTCATTTTTATCTAGCCACCATCTGTAACAACCAGAGAAGCCAATATCTTTACTTGATTTAATTATAATATAATCTTTCAAAAAGTGCAGAGACCAGTAAGAATAACTGCTAATGTGTACCTAATTTTCAACAAAAAGAAGGAACTAGTTAAAGTTGAAGTTAAAATGAAGGGGTCCTTGGGGTGACAGAGGGGAGAGGGAGTAACCATTTCATTTAGAATCTATGATAGAGATGAAGAAAGACATTCTTAGATTTTGAATCCTATACTTTGGGAGAACATATTTCAAAGGGTTCAGAAGAAAATATAGTATCTTTTGGTCTTGTAAGACAGGACAGAAGAGTGAAATATTTTCAAGAATGAAATTCTGAAGACAGAAAGAGCAACAATTATTATGAATAATTGAAAAGGGAAGGATATGTATGCCTAGGGAACTTATTGGCCACTTTTATTTTAAAAAGACATATATAGAAAAGGAAGCAAGGTCAGATAACGGAAGAGGAATATAAAAAGCATGATGTGATCCAACAAAAAAATACTATCTGGAAAATTGAAATTCAAAATGAGTTGAGACTAATGACACAAATTAAAGATTAAAAAAGTGTCTTTTGGACATTTTATTGGGGGAAATATGGAGGTCAAAGAATGGGATTGCTAAACATGGAGAGATGGGATGATGATGGAAGATGGGGAGAAGGCAAAATTACTTACTCTTATTTTGCTTTTTTTTCTGCCTAGGAGAACAATCTTTGAACTGGAAAAAAAATCACAAAGAGATAAAATCTAAGATAAATCAGAGATAGTAAAATAGCTCCTAATTGTTCTGAATGGGTTAAAATGATTAGACCAAGGGGAAAAAATCATTGCTAATATATTGAAAGAAGTGGTAGATTTGTTATTGATTATATTGTCTGCGACAGCCATGGAAAATGAGAGTTTGGGAGGATCATGAGTTGAGTTTTAGACATAGCAAGTTTGCCAGTTGGACATCCAGAAGCAGACAGATATTCAATGGGCAGCTGGAAGTTTAAATCTATAGCTGAAGAAAAAAAAAAAAGAATGAGGCTAGAGAAAGTAATGTCTTGGGAATTAGGGCAGCAGAGAGAACCTACAATGCTAGGGAATTGTTAAGAGCTTCAAATGTACAAAGGGCTGAGGAAGGTGAGAGAAGGCCATAATCGTGGGCAGTGAAGAAGTAATTAACCTGGGTGAGCTTTCTTACAGTAGATCACCTGGAGAACAGATGATGTGGCTTTTAT